GCAACCAGCACCACTACTACAGGCGTTCACAGGCACGCCGGCAATCAGTGCCGGAAGAGAACTTCACGTGCGAATGATGAGAGGGCGGGGAGAAAAAAAGAGAGAGGGAGAAGCTTCCGGTTCTCAGAGCCGAGCAGCACCCTCCGCTGCCAGGATGCCCTCTGCCGACTAGGAAGAGGAAGTGCAGTCACTTTTCAGAGCTAATCAGGGTTTTGGCACGCTACCAGAAAGATGCAGCCTTTAAACGTGGTTGTTTTTCCCATACAGCAGAGTGCAGAGACGTTTATAATAGAATTTACGTTAAAAAAATGCAAAATTGTTATCTATGCTACTACAGAAATATGAAAAAATAATTGATCTATAGGATGACCTGTAAAGAACGTGGAAAAATAATGAACTATCTACAAGTGCTTTTTCTCCTTTCAAAATGTTCCACCTTTGTTCTATGTTAAACATTATATGTCCAGTCCATATAGAAGATAGCATCCTTGAGGATTCCACTTGGATCTCTTAGAGGCATCTCGAACTTAATATGTCCAAAAATGAGCTAATGATCTTCCACCAAAACCTTCTTCTGCAGTCTTCATCCGATAAATGGAAACTCCGTTCTTCGAGTTGCCCAGACCAAAAATGTCACTTTGAACCACTCTTTGACTCTGCTGGTCTAGTCTGTCAGCATATGCTATGGGAACTACGTTCAAAAATAGATCCAGAATCGGCAGCTTCTCTCCACCTCTCAAAGCGCTGCTATCTCGAGGGAATTACTGTAATAGCCTAACTGACCTTACTGCTTCTGCCCTGCGACTGCTCAGTCTATTCCCAGCACAGTAACTAAAGGGATCCTTTTAAGCCTGGCCATGTCATTTTTCTACTGAAATCACTCAACTAGTGAATTCACTGTTGCTGTCATCTCTACTTTTGTGTAAGCTTGAAATTTTTCATAACTAATTTTTTTAATCTGAAATTTTTAATGACCTTAAAAATTTAAATAAATTAAAAAAAAATTAACCTTCAGAATAAGCACCTACATTACAAGGTCTTGCTTGAGCAGCCACACCAGTGTAACTCTACGTCACTTGCTCATTTTCCTCCAGACACATTGGCCTCCTTGCTGATCCTCACATGACCAGAGCCTGTGCTCTCCTCTGGATACCAGCATGGCTCTTTCCCTTACCTTCTTCTCTCTGTTCAAATATCCTCTATCAGTGAGGTGTTCCCTGACCAACTCTTCTAAAACAGCAAGCTCTTCCCTACGTTCCTGCACTGCTTCATTTTCCTTCAGAGCTCTTCTTAGATACACCCAGACATTTTACATAGCTGTCTGTTGTCTGACTCTCCCAATGAGAATGTAAGTTCCACAAGGACAGTGATTTGGTTTTGTTAATTGCTGTACCCCCTGCTGTGCTAGGTGCTCAATAAATATTTGTTAAATGAATAAGATCAAATAAATGGAAATCAGAGTAAATTACAGAATACAAGGAAAGAAAAACCAGAGATTCAATGATGAATTTTGTACTTATTTTTTGTATATCATCCATGTATTAATTTTTAGTAAAGGATTTACTTTGATGAATCAATCCATTGATGTTGAATACTTTTAAGTAAACTTTTTTATTTGTAGGCTTTCAAAAATTTAGTCTTTATAAGCCTGTGTATTTGTTTAAAATATGTAAATTAAATAATAATTATGTAAATAGTAATAACATTAAGGTTTTAATTTTAAGATATAATTATGTTAAATAAAAAAGTGTATCTGGGGCTTCCCTGGTGGCGCAGTGGTTGAGAGTCCGCCTGCCGATGCAGGGGACACGGGTTCGTGCCCCGGTCCGGGAAGATCCCACATGCCGCGGAGCAGCTGGGCCCGTGAGCCATGGCCGCTGAGCCTGCGCGTCTAGAGCCTGTGCTCCGTAAGGGAAGAGGCCACAACAGTGAGAGGCCCGCGTACCGAAAAAAAAAAAAAAAAAAAATGTATCTGTTACTTTTGAAATTACTTTTTGAAATTACCACTTTAACAAACTAAGTTTCCTGAAGTAAAAATTCATACTCATTGTCCTCTGTGTGTGTATATATATATTCATATTTTTCTGTAATTATTATACCAAGTATATTCTTAATTATTTTTATTAATCACCACTTTTAACCAAAGTAATAAACTTGTTTTCTCCACAGAGGAAACTAGAGGACAAAAGGCCAAGAACTGTCTAGCTAAATTTTTATATGGGTACACATTATAGATTACTTCTGTTAGGTTTTAAAGTGGCAAAATACACATACATTATATCATTCAAAGCAGTTACACATTCTATTAATTCATAGTCATTTTATAACTTTGCCATAACTTTGCCAGGTATATGTTATAACTTTTATATCTTATCTTTATAAGAATAAAGATCAATTCAGTGAAGGTCCTGATTCACTGCAGTAAGGGTCTAGGTCAAACCTCAGTAGAATCTCCAAATTGCCCGAGCCCGACTAGCCTAAGACCATTGCCTTAGTCCATTCAGGCAGCTATAACAAAAATACCACAGATGGGGTGACTTGTAAACGACAGAAATTTATTTCTCATAGATCTGCAAGGTGGGATCAAGATCAAGGTTCCAGGAGATTCAGTGTCTGGTGTGTCCCACATCCTGGTTCATAGGCAGCCAACTTCTCACTGTGTGGGCACAAGGCAGAAAGGGTGGAGGAGCTCTCTAGGGTCCCTTTTACAAAGGCATTAATCCCATTCATGAGGGCTCCACTCTCATAACCTAATCACCTCCCAAAGGCCCCACCTCCAAACACCATCACATTGCCACACGTAGGGCACCATCTGATACCAATGTGCTCCTGCCACTGCCCTGTAACAATAAAAGATAATGAAGTCCTAAAGATAAATAATGAAAACCTATCACTGAGACTGAAAGTTACCAGGAAAATCACTAAAGTAGCAAGGAGCCTAAGTTTTCAACTTGGACTTATTGTCAAGGCCACATTCACAAAATAGTTAATATCCTTACATTCCCCAAGGACCCAGCGTTCCAGAAAGATCAGTGGTTGTCAATAAAGAAAAAATAACATGTGAACTACAAGCTATGGCGAGCCTTCTTTTTTATACTAGTTGACTTCAGAATGAAGATAAAAATAAAATCTGAAAAAAGTTAATTTCAGCATCGTGTGAACATGAAGAATTAACACTTAATCTCCAGATGTCACATATTTTGTAAGTGGCCCCTTAGGAAGCACTGTGGCATAGGAGGAAATATATATCTAATTCAATTTTAATTTGATTTCTACAGTAAACAAATTGAGATGAAAAAAGCATCAATGAATTCTCTGTTATATGATGCATAGAAGTTATACTGTTTTAAGTACAATTATTTATTAAAATGTGTTTTCATATTTGAATATAATGATTCAAGTTAACTTCAGTGTAATAATTTAGGCAAAAGGAGAATAATTACAGTGTCTACCGGGATTTTGCTCTGTCTAGGGAATTTATGCAGAAGTGTTATTTCAAATGGATGCCTTATGATAACTTCCCAGTATGTAATAGTATGTTATTAGTATACTAAATTATCCATAAGAGGAAAATTTTAACATCTTTAATACTTGCTCAATTGCTTTCCATTATAAAAATGAATTGACACATATGCATCTTATTTTAGTGACTAATTAAAGGCATGAAACACTGACTAGTAAAATTAACAGGATATGATATAGAAAATTAGATGAGTATAAGCACAATCACACAATTCTACTTCCAAAATTTAAAAGGGAAGATATTAGGATTATATAGAGTGATAATCGATTCTGTTTTTCCCCCCCTTGAAACAACAAAAACTTAAAAGTTAAGATTATATATTCTCACAAACTTCATGCCTAACTTTATAAAAACAGATTAATGCTCGCATTCTAGAATGAAAAAAACCCAAGAGCTGAATTTTTAAATAGTATACTTAAAAAGGGAACAATTGAATTATTAAGTACCTTGCTCAAACACACTTCACCTGTCTAAGAAATTTTGAGACAATCAATCATTCAGGTTTGCAGAATACCAAATGCATTTTTCTAAATGTCACAAAAAGGCCGAGCAGAGTTTCTCCAAGGACACTGCAACTTTAGAATGTTAACCGTGGAGATAGATTAAGCTGTCTGTGAGAAAGGAGAACAGAAATATGCTACCTTAAGATGTTAAAGAGAAAGGTCAATATAAAGTCTGTCGAATGTTGAAAATGTAACACAGAACAAAAAAAGAATACACTGTATAAAGAAACGATAAGAAAATTCATGTATATTAACAATTTAAAATCTCTTTGAAAAGGAACTATTTGATTATTCTTTATGTTCTTTATCAAAACAATAACTAATTTTTTGTAAAAGAGTACTAGTATAGTTTTGCTTTATTTAAAAAAATTCTTGGGCTTCCCTGGTGGCACAGTGGCTGAGAGTCTGCCTGCCGATGCAGGGGACACGGGTTTGTGCCCCGGTCCAGGAAGATCCCACATGCGGCGAAGCGGCTGGGCCCGTGAGCCATGGCCGCTGAGCCTGCGCGTCCGGAGCCTGTGCTCCGCAACGGGAGAGGCCACAACAGTGAGAGGCCCGCATACAGCAAAAAAAAAAAAAAATTCTTTAAGCTAGCTGGCTACATAACACATTATAAAATTTGAGACTATTTTTTTTTACAGTTTATTCTTTTAACTAATTTTATATGATAGAACAGCTAGCTGTACATTCAATCTTGAATGTATAGGGGAATACATAGCCAATAGGAAAATAATTGTGAAAGCAAAATCAGCATGTGTTATGTTTTAAAGAGTGTCATAGAATGTTTAACAGCTTGCACTATTGAACATTAAAGTTTTATTCCTAAAGTAGGGACAATATAAAGCTAGCACTTCCAAGAAAATTCAGAAGAAAGTTGCTAAGAACACAGTATTGATTTAATAACAAGCAATTGGTCTTAGGTGTATTACTCAGCACCATTACTTTCTCTGTTCAAACAACCAAAACTAAACAAATCAAGTGCAATGCTATTTATTTTTTGTTGATCTTCATAGGTGATCCTTTGATGTTGAGTTTATCCACATAAACATTTGATCTTCTTCCACGTTCAATGGCTGGACTTTGATGCAGTTTCTCCCTGAGAAATATACATGTGAACATTAATACCATTTTTTAAATGGTCATTAAAAAAATCAATACAAACATGATGCAGACCACTGTAATTTAAGGTGAGTTTTATCTTAAAGGTTCCTTAATAGCTTTGAAAAACATATGGCAGACTATTTCACTTAACATTTAAGAAAGCAACAGCTGCTTTCCTGAGATAGATTTAACTGTTTACCGTTAAACCATGCTGTCCAACATGGTAGCCACTAGCCACATCGTTTACATTTAAATTAATTAAAATAAAATAAAAATTAAAAATTCAGTTCCTCAGCTGCATTGTTTACATTTCAAGTGTGATTCAATAGCCACGTGGGGCTACTGGCTACCATATTGGACAGTACAGATGCATAACATTTTCGTCATTGCACAAAATCATTTCAGAAAGTTCTATTGGACAGTGCTGGTTTACAGAAAATGCCACTGATAGGCCATAAATTTATAGATCATCTATAAAGAGCATGCTTTTCTCTAACTGGGACCTGGATTTCATAGTCAAACTTAGCACTGTTAGGTTTTTATCAATAAGCTTTTCAAAGTGAGACAAATATTATCTAAAATTAATATGAGAGCAAGATTTCTAAAGAAAACATTGGGGCTCTAAATTCCTAAACAAGTATTTTAAAATAAAAGATGCTAGCACATGAAATTCTGCACAAGTCTTCTAATTTACTTGGTACCCACTTGTCGACCGCTGGTTCTGGGAAGGCTTCCACCTTCTGCAGCAATTCTCCACTCTCTTAGAGCCTAGAACAGATTTCTGTTTTCAGGCCTGCTGAGCCCTCTCTCTCTCGAGTCTAATTTTCAATAGGATTTAGGTAGTGTTTTCAATTGTTCCCCCAGAGTATCAAATAAAATTGTAACTCTAGAATATATACTAAATGTGTCAAAATTTCTATAATCTCTATAAAAGTGTGGTATTAGCACGTTCATATTTCGCAGCTATTCCAAACGGTAATTCCAAAGGAGGCTAAAGTTTTTGCAAAACTCTTCCAAAATATTTGATATCTAATACAGATACTGTTACATATTATACAAGGGTCTAAAAATCTTTTTACCATTAAATGCTCAATTTTGACTTGTTAGGGAAGTTTTGTTCAGCCTTTTAGCTACAGTTCCTCTCTCCTTACCATATCCCTAAACACCAGTATCTTTACCTGGTACAAAATGTATGACTCCTACTCTATCCAGATGAAAATCTGTTTCACAAGAATAACTGCATTATAGTATATTGCTCTACCTTAGGAGGATTTTAGCCCCATTGTCTAAAGCATAATTTGCTAGTAAGGTACTAGTCATATAATCCTAAAATACTATTGGTTTTCAGATACAAATTTAAATTTGTGTTGGAATACTCAGAAATAATATAAAGTTATTACATCTTTCACAAAAGATATTATTGATACAAACAACTTGGATGTTAATCAAAACTTCCCGATAACAGAGGTAAAATTACATAACTTCTCTTCTAAATTGTCTTTAAAAAACACAGCTTAGTTTAGAAATAACTTTACCTTCTTTTAAGTTCTCGGGATCCTGAATTCTCATGACCAATGTTTCGCATCTTAGAGTTTTCTAGATTGTGCCATTGTCCCCTTGGTTGGTACTTCAGAACCTCATTTTGCCACTCATCATCAAAAGCATGAGCATCACCTACATCCAATATCAAAATAAAGTGGTAAGTATTAAGGTATCAGCTGTCAGTAATTGCCTTGCTCCCCACACATTTCACTCTAGCCTGGTGTTTCCATCAGCCTAACCTTAAAGTAGAAGCAGGAAACTGCTTCAAATAAAAAGGTCTTGGACTCAGAGTAGTATTTCCTTTTCTCTTTGTTCCTCTCCTATTCCTGTTGATAATTTGCTTATGGATGATCTGGTTTTTCACACACCTGCCTGGATATCACATTACTTATCCAATGGACCCCATGACCCAGCGACACGAACAGGCTTTCTTCCCGGGTCATCTCATGGTGATGCTACTCTTCCTCTTACTGGGAGGACACTCCTCCTGTGCCTAGCACTTCCTGTCCTCAGTTTGGCCTCACAAGCTTCTTTTTCAATTTCCTGAGACAGGTTACTCATCTGACAGTTCATGTTGTTATGAAGTAGGTAATCTAAATTCCATAATAACAATAAGTAAATGATAATACGTGTTCTTTCAGATTGCCTTTATAATAATGTGTTACTTTACTAAAATTTTCTTCAGTATGTTCATTATTGTGAAGTACTCTGTATATATTTAAATATGGCCAAATTACGAAGGTTAAAATTAAAGAGAGGTTAAGATGTTGTGGCTTCCATCTCATTGCATAAGAATAATTTTATCCAGCTCCAAGAGAATTTCTTTTTCTAAAATCATATAATTTAAACCCTTTACTATGATAAAACATTTTTATTCAAAATACTTTCTAAAAACAGGAAATGAATACAGCTTAAAAACTATAATGAAAAAAGTTAGGAAGTCTTAAATGAGTTGAAGAATGAATATAAAATCTAAGAAATGGAAAGATTTGCTTGATATATATGTGATTTACTATCTAACAACACCAGAAATTTAAATCTTATCTATACAAAAGCCTAAGTGCCCCACAATACAGAATAGTTGAAATAAATTATGGCCAATTCATGATAAAACTTTTAGGTAACCATCTAGGATGTTTCTGAAAAGTAACATCATAGGTGACTGTTCACAATTATAGTGGGGAATTAAAATAAGCACAATATAAACTATATAGATAGTAAAATACAAATTTTGAAAAACAGTATGTGTGATTGTATGTTTATATATATCAATACATAAAACTATTAGGAAGAAATACACTAAAACGTTAATAGTAGTTATTTGGGGTTGGAGTTATGAATAATTTTAATTTCCTTTATACTTTTTTATACTTTTCGAATGTACTTCTTTGATATCAGAAATAAATAAAAACTCGATTTCCTACTGATAGTCTTACTAAAAAACAATTCAAAAGATTCCATTTTCCAAGTATAAAACAAAAAAATAAATGATACTCAACATTAACAAAAATCACTATAAAAAACAGATCTACAATGAAACACTGAAACCACAATTTTATTACTACTTTGATAACGTATTCTCTACATTTACAATTCATAAACTGTCTGAAACAACATCATATAAAATGTTTCTATAAAAAATATTCACCAAGTTCTATGGGTACAGCTGCTATTTTAACTTTGAGAGGAAGAATGCTATTTTCTCTGATAACTTACTTTCATTCATATTGATGAACTCTTGATTGACCTCTTCATCTCCAGTCTTCTTGTTCTTTGACTTTTTAATGACATGAGCTCGGTCATGGAGGTGATGACCAACAGCCATTTTTTCTAGTCCACTCTCAGAATCTCTCAGTGCTCTCCTAGTTTCCTTTACCTGTGAAAATGATGAAAATAAAAATTAGTTATTATTTAAATAAATATAGACTATAAACTCCTCAGAACCTGTTTACCTATAGAGGTAAGAATATAAATCTACTGCTCTAAAAATAATGGGTACTCAGTTCCACTACCAACTTGTAGTAAAATTATGGTAATAGTTCTCTGATATTTCCTGAACTGCTTACAATTAAAATGTCTAGGACAAACAGAACGAATATAATTATTAAAACAAAGAATAACTTAATTATATTAAACAGTGCCTTCAACACTGTCCTTGACAATTAATAGATGGGAGTACATACTAGCATTCCTACAAGAAAGGGCAACTAATTATTCAGCACTCGTGAAATGACTTATATATTCTATTTTCATTTAAGTCACCCATTAGACAGGCAAACCCAAATTTTCTTTACTATAAGTACTAACAAGGAAGTGGAGAAATGGGAACTCATACCAAAGTCTGTGGGAGCTAATTGTCTCAATCACTGTGTGATAATAACTTGGTGATTTCTAGGTAAGGATGAAGACACACATCTCCTCCGATCCAACAATAGCATTCCTAGCCCTTTTGCACGAGGAGACAGGTATAAAGATGAATAGGTGAAAAATTATAAACACCTAAATATCTATCAATAGAAAAATAGATTAAAAAACTGTGGTATAGGGCTTCCCTGGTGGCGCAGTCGTTGGGAGTCCGCCTGCTGATATAGGGGAAACGGGTTCGTGCCCCGATCCGGGAGGATCCCACATGCCGCGGAGCGGCTAGGCCCGTGAGCCATGGCCGCCGAGCCTGCGCGTCCGGAGCCGGTCCGCAACAGGAGAGGCCACAACAGTGAGAGGCCCGCGTACCGCAAACAAAACAAAACAAAACAAAACAAAACAAAACAAACTGTGGTATATTCATATTTTAGACATTTATATAGAAGTTAAAATAAGAAACCAGAGCTACACATATCAACTTGAATAAATCTCAGAAGCAATTACTGAGCAAAGTCAAGCTGCAGAGGACACGTACAGTATGAAACCATTTATACAAAGTTTAGAAACCTGTAAAATAATTCACTGTATTGTATATGAAGCATACATAAGTAATAAAATTATAAAAGCATGCATGAAAATGATAAATTCCAGGTACAGGCATACCTTAGAGATACTGCGGGATCTGTTCTGGACCACCACAATGAAGGGAATATTGCAATAAAGTGAGTCACATGATTCTTTTGGTTTCTCAGTACACATAAAAGTTATGTTTACACTATACTGTAGTTATTAAGTGTGCAGTAGCATTATGTCTAAAAATGCAATGTACATACCTTAATTTAATAACACTGTATTGCTAAAAATTGCTATCATCTGACAACACAGGGTTGCCACAAACCTTTAGTTTGTTAAAAACACAATTTATCTGTGAAGTGCAATAAAGTGAAGCCCAATAAAACGAGGTATGCCTGTATAAGAAAATGGTTGTCTTTGGGGGAGAAAGGGAAAAGGAGGAGGAGGGAGGAGTATATTGGAAGCTTTAACTGAATCTGTAACATCTTTGCTTAAAAAGGAAGCAAAACAAGAGACAACTTAAATAGAGAAAAGTGTTAATGATTTGACTAAACTGGATTGAAGGAGTATGGGGTACTTATATTATATTATTCTCTATGTCCTTTCTGTATACTTGAAATATTTATGAGTTAAAAAATTCATCTACTTCAAATAGAAACTAAAAGTAGACATTTATTTCATGAAACAAAGACTTCTTATAGTGTCTACTTACTTTGTCAACATGTAAAGCTAATAAACATCCATGGATATTAACATGAAAAAAGGCACCTGGGGCAGGGATGGAGGTAGGTGGGGGAGACAAAGAATGCCTCAAAATAAATACATAAATACAGTTAGTTTTATTGCTTTTCACACTGACCTGTGTTTTCTCCCCCCATCCCTTCCCCTGACCAGTACCAGGTCAAATTTTAATAGTTAAAATTTGATATAGGTGATCTATGATTCCACAACTTTATAAAGTTCCAAGAAAATACTTACTCCTCCTGGAGCCCTGCGGGTTTGAGTTGAGGCCTGGAAAACTTTTGGTGGTTCATCTCCTACTTTGGAATAAGTCATAACTGAGGAAGAACTAAACGAATGTCCATTTGGATCCGTTGAAAGGTTACCCTAGAGGTACATATAAATTGTAAATCCAGTGAGTTCAGTCAAATACGAAGAAATAATGTCAGAGGATCCAAATAAAGTAACAACACTAGCTAGAAGTTCTACTAAAGATAGTATATATGATCAGTATGATGTCCAAATGGTACCCCCATGAAGGCCCTAACCTCCTTCCATTTTAGGTACCAATTCACACTCTCCTTGTAAGGAATAATAAATGACAAGTGATTCATTCAGAAATCCTCAAATCTTTGAGGTCAAAGACTTGTGGCTTAAATTTATAGATGCCGTGCCCTGAAGCATGTAATACTTTTACAGTCAGTGGTTGACTTTTGTGTGCAATTTTGCCAATGTTGAGCCAATTAGCCATATGCCAAGAAGTTTTATACCTTCTGTGGGTACCAACTGCTACATTTCTAAAATCATTAATAATGTCCTAGATTTGGACATTCTGAAATGATCCTTAGATTTCAAACTGGATGACTAAAATAATATGGGTGGTCTTCATACTGAATCAAGTTATTTTGATTAATATCATGAGTAGAAAAGTAAGAGTATTAGTACTAGTTTATAAGTGTTTGGACTGTATGAATCTAATTCAGTGCCTAAACATCATTCCTGAAATTTCTATTTTCAGAGTTATTTTTTAACACTAAAACTTAATTTCTTAGATGCTACAAATCTTTTTAAGTAGACAAGTTATACATAATAAAAAAATCTAAATTCATATAAAACATTCATTTACAATAGTGATCTTCAGCAGAATAAATGTTTTTGAAGTTGAATGTTTTTATTTTGAAAGTTTAATTAACGCTGCTTTTCAAACTTGCAGGTTCTGAGATCATTTTGGTAGGCTGTGACCAGGATTTTTAAAATATGAAGTAAAATAGAAAATATCAGCACATGCTGTAAACAGTATGATTATTTTCTCATGAAATTTTTATTTCAGGTGTAAAATATATACAGTACACAAGTACTGTCATGATGTAAGATATATTTTTCAATCACTGTGGACCATGGTTAGAAAAAGGTTGAAAGCCACTATAATATAGGATACCAATAACTGAAAATAACATTCTCATCAGTCCTTTAGTACTTACAAAGTTTCTTTGTAATTCCTGCATGCTGTTTCGCATATTTAACATCATTCGGTCCATTGCCTGAAAAGGGTTGACATCTGTACGCTATAGGATATTAGGAAGTATGTTATTAACTATAAGCACAACACAAAGGAAGCAAAATCAACATTCCCAAAACAGCTGAAATTTTTTTTTTTTTGATTTTTGCTGTGGGGTCTCATGCAGTGATCGACCAGGCAAAGATAATTTAAGGACTATATAATGAAAGTGATTTGTTAAAGAAGAATTTGAAGCATACACAAAATCCTAAACAGCCAACATACAAATGGTTAGGGAGTTGTAACACTATAAATACATGCATACATACATGTGTATATATCCACACATATATACATGCAAGAACATATAAATACACACACACATAAAATTCAACTTGCTCATAACATAATCTGGTTAAAATTTAAATACTGAGTGGTGTATCCTTGGCTGTGGGACAGCTCTAGCATAGACTAGTCTTCCAATTTTTCCTTCTTCCTTCTGGATATCCTACCAGGCAAATAAATAAAACCCAAGTATAAGATGACAGTGTTCCTTCCAGCAGTCCAACATGGGTGATAGAAGCTGCCTCTGGAGTAATCAGTCCTCCTTTCCATCAGACTTGGACCCAAGTGATATAGGTTGATTCCACTAACAGTCCTTGGATTTGCTGCCCACCACTGCCAGCTCAGTAGGGCATACACTTGAAGCATGAGGTATGCTCCTTTATCTATTTAAGTAATTTATTTATTTTAATAGACCTTTATTGGAGTATAATTGTTTCACAATACTGTGTTCGTTTCTGCTGCACAACAAAGCGAATCAGCCACATGCACACATATGTCCCCATACCCCTCCCTCTTGAGCTTCCCTCCCACCCTCCCTATCCCACCCCTCTAGGTCATTGCAAAGCACTGAGCTGATCTCCCTGTGCTATGCTGCTGCTTCGCACTAGCTATGTATTTTACATTTGGCAGCGTACAAATGTCGATGCTACTCTCACTTCGCTCCAGCTTCCCCCTCCCACCTCGTGTCCTCAAGTCAATTCTCTATGTCTATGTCTTTATTCCTGCCCTGCCACTAGGTTCATCAGTACTATTTTTTTTTTTTTTAGATTCCATATATATGTGTTAGCATACGGTATTTGTTTTTCTCTTTGTGACTTCACTCTGTATGACAGACTCTAGGTCCATCCACCTCACTACAAGTAACTCAATTTTGTTTCTTTTTATGGCTGAGTAATATTCCATTGTATATATGTGCCACATCTTCTTTATCCATTCACCTATCGATGGACGTTTAGGTTGCTTCCATGTCCTGGCTATTGTAAATAGTACTGCAATGAACGTTGTGGTACATGTCTCTTCTTGAATTATGGTTTTCTCAGGGTATATGCCCAGTAGTGGGATTGCTGGGTCATATGAGAGTTCTATTTTTAGTTTTTTAAGGAACCTCCATACTGTTCTCCATAGTGGTTGTATCAATTTACATTCCCACCAACAGTGCAGGAGGGTTCCCTTTTCACCACACCCTTTCCAGCATTTATTGTTTCTAGATTTTTTGATAATGGCTATTCTGATCAGTGTGAGGTGATACCTCATTGCAGTTTTGATTTGCATTTCTCCAATAATTAGGTGATGTTGAGCAACTTTTCATGTGCCTCTTGGCCATCTGTATGTCTTCTTTGGTGAAATGTCTATTTAGGTCTTCTGCCCATTTTTTAATTGGATTGTTTGTTTTTTGATATGGAGTTCCATGAGCTGTTTGTATATTTTGGAGATTAATCCTTTGTTGTTTCATTTGCAAATATTTTCTCCCATTCTGAGGGTTGTCTTTTGGTCTTGTTTATGGTTTCCTTTGCTGTGCAAAAGCTTTTACGTTTAATTAGGTACCATTTGTTTATTTTTGTTTTTATTTTCATTACTCTAGGAGGTGGGTCAGAAGAGACCTTGCTGTGGTTTATGTCAAACCACATATATGGTTTGTGTTTTCCTAAGTTTTCCTCTGATAGTTTTATAGTGTTTGGTCTTACATTTAGGTCTTTAATCCATTTGAAGTTTATTTTTGTGTATGGTGTTAGGGAATGTTCTAATTTCATTCTTTTACATGTAGCTGTCCAGTTTTCCCAGCACCACTTATTGAAGAGACTGTCTTTTCTCCTTTGTATGTTCTTGCCTTCTTTGTCATAAATTAGGTGACCATATGTGCATGGGTTTACCTCTGGGCTTTCTATCCTGTACCATTGATCTATATTTCTGTTTTTGTGCCAGTACCATACTATCTTGATTATTGTAGCTTTGTAGTATAGTTTGAAGCTGGGGAGCCTGATGCCTCCAGAGGTATGCTCCTTTAGAAGAACAGTTAAGAGTTCCTCCAGAACAGTAGTTTCTTAGCCAGGAGTGATTTTGATCCCAGGGGGACATTTGGCAATAATTATACTCATTTTTGTTTGTCACAGCTGGGGAGGGTATATGACTGGCATCTAGCGGTAGAGGCAAGGGATTCTGCTAAACATCCTACAAAGCATAGGACAGCTCCCCAGAACAAGAATTATCCAGCCCAACGTGAAAGTAGTGGTGTCAAGGCTGCAAAACTCTGCTCTAGAAAGATCTGCTATTGATTTTAAGTTTTATCACTGGAACAATCAGCAGGAATCAAAAAGTGAAGCACATATTCTAGTGTGTCACCCAAAGCATCATCTACTATTATAAGGAGTGTTTAGTTCAAGGAACTCCCCTGCTCAAGCAGGAGGAGTGTTTTGAATCCTGTAAGGCACTGTTATTCAATGCTGGTATTTCAGCCCTCCTGGATATTCTTTTGCTTTGTGCCAAGCTGGGACTCAGTAAAGAATCATCAAAGGCCTGTTTATGTCTCTGCCTTCTACTGGGTTTTTATTGCTAGTTACAATAGAAAATAGATGAAAAAAGCAAATTCCTTTTTAGAATCTGCACTTAGCACAGTAGGGAACAACAATGACACGTTTAGGAGTTACTGATACATCTTTAGGATGCAAAGGACTACAATAGAATTAATCTGCATTTCAGAGATTCAACACAATTCAGGAAATGTTGTGAATTTTTTGCTTCAACATTAGGTTGAGAATCAAGGCTGTATTAAGAGAGAACAATTCAAGAGAGACAGAAGGGCTGGCCTAAGGAAGGAGAGGAGGAGGAGGAGGAGAAAAAGATCCGATGTTTGGGGTATATTCTGTCTCTTCTCAATTCACTATCAAATCAGCCATCAAAAGATGTATCTGTACTTGCTATGGGGTGGCCCAACGCCTTGACAAAAAAGTGGAGCTACAAATTAGAGCGGAGATTCCAGTGGGCTTTTGAGGCCTTCAGGAACTCTGTACAGCTGCTCTTCTCTGCCTAGAATGTTTTCTCCTGACTCTCAGTATAGTTTCTTCTAATCATTCAAGTATCACCTCCTTAAGAAGCCCACCCGTCTAAACTAATCTCTGCCTCACATCCACCTGTCACTATATCATTACTCCATCTCCTTCAGAGTACTTTGACGATCTGAAATTATTTTGTTGTTTATTGTCTGTCTTCCCACTCTGTAAAACTAATCTCTGTGAAGGCAGGGCTATATTCTCTGTCTTACCCACTACTAATTCCCAATACTTTAAAAACAACTCCTGGCACATAGGAGGGCTCAATAAATATTTGCTGAATGAAGGAACTAATTATCTCTAATTAGTTAACTAATTAGCTCAGCTCAAACCCATATATCCAACTGTTTACCAGATAAATCCCACCTGGACAACCCACAGATGCCTCAAATGCAAAACACCCAGAATTGAAATGACCTTTCTGAACACCCCTGCCCTCATACCTGCACTGCATCAATGCTCTCTGTTCCTAGCTCAGTGGCATTCCCATCTACCTAATTCCTCATGCCACAAAAATAAGCATAATACTTTCCTTCTCCCTCTCTACTGATCCATCAACCCAATTTATCAACAAGTTCTATCCATTCACCTATTTAACTCTTTCTCAAAGGAGATTATTTCTCCTTATCACCACAGCTATTACCTGAGTAGAAGCTATCACTAATACTTCCCAGAATACTTGATCAGCCTCCTAGTCTCCCTGTCTCCACTGTGATCCCTTCTAATCTCTCTCCTCCCTGCAGGCACAATGATCTTTAAAAAATGAGAATCTGGGGGCTTCCCTGGTGGTGCAGTGGTTGAGAGTCTGCCTGCCAATGCAGGGGACACGGGTTTGTGTCCCGGTCCGGGAAGATCCCACATGCCACGGAGCGGCTGGGCCCAAGAGCCATGGTCGCTGAGCCTGCGCATCTGGAGCCTGTGCTCCACAACGGGAGAGGCCGCAACAGTGAGAGGCCCGCGTACCGCAAAAAAAAAAAAAAAAAAAAGAGAACCTGATTCTACTACTGTTTTGATGAAAATTCATCAATTGCTCCCCCTGCTCTTAAGATAATGTCCACAATCCTTACCAGGGCCAAAAGAAGTCGCCCTGGTTACCTCTCCATCCTCATCTATACACACTCTCCAACTCACATCCTAGGGCCAAATGACCCTAAACATCTTTGGGCTCCCTAGCCTCTAGGTTTCTGCACATGCTGTTTCCTCTGTGTTGAGCACTCGTCTTCTCCCCTCCCAGATTTTCCTGGCTAACTCCTATTAATCCTTAAGGTTCAGGAAGTGTTCTCTAGTTGACCTCCACTCCACCATCCCCAAAGGTCTGGGCTACAGGCTTTTTTCTGCCTGTGCTCCCACAGCATGCTGAACTTCCTGATCATTTTTACTGATAACTCTGTGCTATAGCTGTTTTTTTTTTTTCCTTCATCACTTGTCCCACTAAAAACTCTGGTCAGGAAGGACAAATGTTATATGTCAAGCTTTAAGGAGAGAAATGGCTGAAGTCTAGCACAAGAGAATAAAAAAACTTTTTCATGAGAGCATAGGTGCATCCATAGGAAATGTTCCAAGGTGATGCTATTTTCTGTTACTCCTCAGATTGCCTTTAATGTGTTAGAAGCTAGAGCCACAGAAAACAGGACCAAAGGCCTGGAGAAACAGGGGTGGGAGAAAAGCTGGTTGCAGAGTAGCCATGCTTGAACATGGGAAAGGAAACGCATGAATGAATTGGCAATAGAGTCCTAGAGAAAGCAGCCAATCTGAGCTTTTCCAGATGTGCTTGTCTAGCTACAGTTTGGTGGTTTTTCACCTTTTGAAAAGTCTTCATAAGCTTGGGGAAGTTTCCAACTTTTAAACACAACTGTGGGGATCCCTTTTGCAAATCAAGTGAGTAGTCATCAACTAAAATGTACTTTTTCTTTTGGAAAACTGATTTTATTATGTTGATATTACTTACTTCACAAAACACAGGCCTAAACACTCTAAGATAAATTTAACACATGACACAAGTTTTCAGTAATAAATGCTAAAAAGCCATTATGAAATTGGGCATGCCAATTCAGTTTGCTTGAGTTAATGAAAAATAAATATTTGTCAGAAAATATTGCTCAAATGGTTTGTGTCTTATGATATGAACCATACTACCAAAACTGCCAAAAGGCACAAGAGAACTCATCACCTAGAAAAAAAATCCAATTAATTTTGGTTATGATATTTATTATATAACAATCTCTGAAAAAGAGAGAAATGCACTGCATAATCACATAGTTCAGAGCTAACCAAATTACAGAACCTTTTAATCAAAAAGAATTCAACATATATTTTTAAAGTTATCTGCTTATTATTCATTGTAGAGCCTGACAGGATCCTGGCAGGCAAATAGAGAGACCATATATCACTTTTAAATAAGACTACTCTAGTATTTGTTAAAGGCAGTTGAAAGAGAAAGTATTTGCTATGGATTGAGACAAACATTTCTCAAAGGAAACGCAAATTCACACCAAAATTAACACATAAGGTACAACGATTAAGATTATATCATCTCTCCTTTGTTCAACTATTCCATATTTTTTAAAAAATCAGTTAATCTTTCCTTTAACTTGTTAAAAATCAAAAGTATCTAAATTAATAACATTTCAAAAAATTAGTAGAGATATTCGGCCAAAAATTTAATGAATACCTCCTAAGAACTAATTTATGGAATAAGTAATATGTACTTCAGAAAGGATCACACATAGATATTTAAAGATATTTGGAGTCTTCGATAGGAAAAAGAATATTAAGTATAATAGATAGAATAATCAAAATTAATAGTTCATAAATTATATTTCTCAATAGGTACAGATGAATGAAAATAAATTTTTAGATTCGTATACAAATTAAAAACTTTCATTACTTGGAAGTTTTAAATGTTGAAAATAAATTTTGAATTTCTTGGTAAAAGGTATATATAAAGTTTTACCATTATTCTGTGATAATTTTCTCCCTGTGTAAGTTATGACCAAAAAACTAGAGAAAACTGTGTTTATATTCAATTTTATAAGTTATATCAGTTGATATATACTTATACTGTATATGTAGAACAGTAATCTCCAAAGTGTATTGATGTACCAGTAAAATTCCTCTTTCTGTTTCTTTTTACTGAAAGGAAAAACAGATTTTACATTGACTCTGGCACCATCTCTCAATCTAATTGTCAAATGGTCACATGTCATATCTTGAATTATAAACTGCCTAATTAAATAAATTTACAGATTAAATTATAGTTTTAAACAAACCAGTCCTCTCAAAATGGACAACTGGCTTAAAAGTATCCCAATAAAGAAATCATGAACTGAAGAAACTGCTAATAGTACAAACACAGGAAAACGGCAAAGCTGATGCTGCTTCTACTTCTGTAGGTGTCTCTGTTTTCCTTCCTAATAGGGCTGTTAAAGATGACAAACGTCAAGAAATGGGCCAAAAATAAGAAAAAAGTTATCAAGTGTCTATTTGAAATATAAATTTTCATCCACTATGCTTAAAAGCATCAGCATATGGCTCGCTACTTAATCGAAATACTCATTTTAAAATTTATAACTTCATAAAAAGAGAATAAAAAGTTTGTGTAAACTGTTAATAAAAGTTCAAATAGAACAGCCAGCATGCTCAAAAAGTCTACTGTTTTCTTCACTGTGCTCTTTTCAAACTAGGTAGCCATCTTTTTCATCTTCTGCAGTCAATTTCTAACTTCTGTTTCTACTTTCACATCTAGTTATGAGACACTGACTTAGAAAAGTCAAGTTAGGATACAGGCCTTCTGTTGCTACTGTTGTTTGTTTGTTTTTGTTTTCTTTTAATTAATTAATTTAGTTTTGCTATTACATAACTCTTTCATACTGAGACATAAATATGTCAAATGTATCACACCCTAGGGAAAAAAAGGTGAGCCATATCTCACCAGTACAAATTATAATGTACCAGGAAAGAAAAAGTGTTTTGGCTAAAAGAGAAGCTGAATGTTCCTTGTAAAACTGGATGAAATTCCTATATTTAAAAATTACTACTGCCCTTCAACTGCCCTAGGACAGTGCTCAGTACTCTTGGTTGGCAAAGAGTTTTCATAGTTTGAACAAGAAAAAACCCCACTGGTGTTAGCTTTCTAAGACAGTTGATACAATACAATGTAACTGAAGAAGAATGTATACTACTTGATTTTAGATGGGAGAGGCAACTAAATACTACCTAGCAGTATTGACTATATAAAAAGTTATAAAACTCAAAGTTTTATGAAATGGTTTTGTCTAAATCTGATATAGTAAAAATTACCATTTACTTTTTATTTAATAGGTAGATGAGTACTGCAGTTTTTCTTGGGAAAATGTTTAAAGAGATTTTTATTAAATTAAAACATAAGACGATAGGTTCGCATATAGGTGATTAGTGTACTTTACTCAGCATTGGTTTAAAAAAAAGCTAAAAGCTTTCCAGTCTATTTGAATTTCATCATGCTCTCCATTAAGGTAGCCAATAGCCACGTGTGGCTATTTAAAATTAGTTTTAAAATAATTAGAATTTAATTAAAAATTCAGTAGCACTAGGCACATTTCAAGTGCTCGACAGCCATATGTGGCTAACCACACTGAACAGGGCAGATTTAGAACATTTGCATCATCCAGAATGTTCTATTGGATAATGCTACAGACTTTAGCCTACATCTATGATTAACAATCTTACACAAAAGTTAATTTATGTCACTATAAACCAGACAAGGTAGCAACTATTTTAGTTTTTCATTCAAATGTTGTTCTTGGCCTTCCTTTATATTCAGAGTTGTTTTCCTGCTTGACTTTCCTTATTCAATCATCACATTTATGCAACCATATTACTTCAGCTGTGTGGGTGTTTTTGGTTCCCCAAAACTTGATTTCAAGCCACATTGGCAAGGTAACTATGAGGCAAGCTAAAATACAAATAGTTCTAAATTATGAATCGTATAAGCTACAGTTTCACAGAAATTTATCTATTTGGTTACATATATTTCTTATTCCAGCTCATTAAACATTCAGATGTTTTAAGCACAAGTACCCAGGAAAGAAACATTTACTTCTACTTCCAATGGATGACCAGCAGAGTTACAGCTTAGGCATCCTTAATAAGAACTTTATAGCTGAATTATAAACAGATCTCCTTTCTATGCTTACAAGGGAATAAAATTGTCACTTCTTTTTCTACAAAGGCTACGAGTAGCTCATTTATGCACGTAAATACAAAGCACTATGTACAGCCCTACTCTTTCTTTGCTGTGGTTATAGCAGATATATAAAATGCTTCAATGCTCATGTGAAAGATAAAATTTCAGAATGTCATATTTGATTTTTCTGCTCTCTTTGACAATTTTTTCCTTTGACCTTAATTTTCAACTTTTATGGAAATTTATAGCCCTAACAGTAAAAAATATATATAATGATACCACATTAACTAATTTAAAAAATAACTGGAATGTAATTAATATATATATTGGAATAATATGTATGTGAAAAAGAAGGTGAAGATTACTTTCATTTAAATGGCAAATGCAATGTTATCCATCAAACGTCTTAGGAGTATTTGAAACATTTTGCTCTATTTAAGACCACTGCAAATAGAAAATACGAAAATGTTTTCCTGGAAGATTTGGGAAGTTTCCCAACTGACCAATTCAAAATGTTTACTGAGTTCCAAATATCTACATTTCTATTGCAGAGATTTATCTTTTAGAAAGAAACTCCTGTGGATTTGTTGTTCTAGAACTGCCATTCCTGAGGCTGAAGAAGCAATAGAAATAAGCAGAAAAGAAGATACTTAAGGTATATAAATATCCTGGGTTTTTTTTTTTTTTTTGAGTTGAGTATGTTTGTAACCTTTTAGTTTTGCTCTCAGACAAGACTTCTGAATATATATTGTAGTTTTGCAAGGCTTTTGAATACAATTAAAAGTTAATCTCAGTTTTGAAGGTCCAAGGTAGCCATGCAGAAGACTGGTTTTTCCTGGTCCAATAGAGATAAAGCATTATACTATCCTTTTTTATTTTAAAGTGGGAAAAAAAAGTGTTGTATGCAATGATATTTCCTTGCCTGTTCTAATGTAAGACATGGGAGTAAATGATGAGGTGAGGAAAAAACTATATACACATGGAAAACAATGTTTTAAGTTTGGCTTGTAATATATAACTTTATGGTGCTAAAAGTTTTAGTAGCACAGTGGAATTCTATACAATTAACAATTCATTGTTAAAGAACTCAGCTTTCCAACTGGTCCCTCCTTTTACATAAGTTATTTCTATAACATAAATATTAGTCATATCCTATTGTCAGAGATATATTCTTCTGTAATACTTTTCTTTACTAACTTTAAAATAAAGAACTTACAGTCAAGGAATTTTCTCCATCCTCATGTCCCGTATGGTTACGAGCTCTTCCTCTGCCATCAGAGATGCTGAACAGGTCTCTTCCAAAAGGTTCAGAAAAATTTCTCATCATCTGTCGCATACTTTCTTGGTGTGCCATAAAAGAATCACTGTTGAAAATACATATAATCATGTAAGAGTAAGTGCTGGAATTTAAATAATAAGTAGGCAGCTTAATACTACAAAGAATGATTTTGGGCTAATATGCTTGTTAAAGAGACAAAAGAAGAGTTTAGGAGAATAGAATTATCTCATAAAGACCCACTATTCATGAATACAAAACCTGTTCTGTTTGTTACCTACCATAATTCACTTATGTATAATAGTAAAAATATACCTTTATTTATCTCATTGTATGAAATTGATAAACACAAAGTAACACATCTCAGGTAGCTTAAGCCAGCACTAAAGGAAATGGCAAAAAAGGACTGAAAAATATTGCTACTAGGTAGAGGCCACTTTGGGCAGTCTACATACATTCTAGTGAGAGCTAATAAAGAATGCTGGCTTGTTTATTTTTTAACTCTTATTTATTAAATATGAGCATTGAGAACTATAGCTATGTTATGAATACCATAAAAGATACAACATTATTTTTTAAAAAACAGGGTTTTTTTGGTCTGAATGTTATGGAGTTGTAAGAGTTCTTTATATATTCTAGACATCAGGCTTTTATTATATATGTCTTGTAAATACTTTTCCCCCAATCTTGGACTTGCCTTTTCATTTTCTTAACATCAGCTTACTGAGCCACACAGCCAGGATCCTTTGTTAGGTCTTCAGTTTTCATCAGACTATGACCTTTGCATGGACATTTTATTTCTGACTTAGTTTTCTACCTCTGCCTTTCATCTTTAACTAACTCCAACTCCTATGACATTTTACGTATCTCCATAAGCATCTTTTATTTTTAGAAGATGAGGAATAAGTAGAATTTAAAACATGAAGGGAAGAATTGTAATAGAAAGTCAGAAGTGGACAATCTGAAATCTGAGGGGAGTATCGTATAAAAGAGTAAATTGTGTTGATTATTCTACCGTACCTTCTAAATTTCCTGTCTTAAATTTAAAAGGCTTCCATTTTTATTTTACATCTTCTAACATGGGAGATTTATTTGTAGTTTTTTTTTTTTTTTTACAAAATGTTCTAATATTACTGAACTTAATTTCAGTTAGGTATATTATAAACTTGATTATCTAGTCTCTGATAAACCAATGAACTCACTAATTTATATGTGTGGTACCCAGCTTCTAAGATGGCCCCAATGATCACCACTCCCTGGTATTCATGCCCTCATGTAAACCCTTCCTCCCCTTAAGTATGGCTGGACTTACAGACTTGCTTCTAATAGAATATAAGTGATGGGATGTCAATTCCAAAGTTAGGTTTTTAAAAAGACTGTGGCTTCTGCTTGTGTGCTCTCTTAGCATGATGGCTCACTCTGCAGGAAGCAGCTGCCACACTATGAGGCAGCCCTGTGGGGAGGCCCACATGAGTGAGCTTAGGGGCAGGTTTTTGAGACCAGCCAACAGCCACGTGAAGGAACTTGGAAGTATATTCTCCGTCAGTCAAGCCTTAAGATGACGACAGCCTTGACTCACAACTTGATTGCAGCCTAACAGGGCCCGAGTTGGAACCACTAAGCTGCTCCTAGATTCCTAACCAACAGAAGTTATGACATAATCAATGTTTGTTTTAAGCTGCAATAGGTAACTAATACATATTACATCCCAAAGAGCAGTGTATAACACATTTAAAACTGCCCTTATTCTGTTAATTTTGGTAGTTTCATCTAATGACTGGGAAGGAAATGAATACAAATCTATAAAAATAAGTAGGTCTGTTTCTGCATCATGAGAAAATGTTTTATAGATTTTCACCAAGTTTTGAGACTATGTTTGGGATGGTATGAATATATATATAAGCTTCTATGGCATAAAACAAACCTCAATTGAGGGTGGTGTTTCTTAGATAGGTTTCTTAGATAGGTGGTCTTACTCCAGAGCAGTTGAAACTGAGGTACAAGAAGGCACGGAACTTGTATTCTATTTATTCTTCATCTTCTAAAAACAAAAGACGCTTATGGAGATATGTAAAATGTCATAGGAGTTGGAGTTAGTTAAAGATGAAAGGCAGAGGTAGAAAACTAAGTCAGAAATAAAATTTCCATGCAAAGGTCACAGTCTGGTGAAAACTGAAGACCTAACAAAGGATCCTGGCTGTGTGGCTCAGTAAGCTGATGCTAAGAAAATGAAAAGGCAAGTCCAAGATTGGGGGAAAAAGTAGTTACAAGACATATATAATAAAAGCCTGATGTCTAGAATATATAAAGAACCCTCGCAACTCCATAACATTAAGACAAAAAAAAACCCTGTTTTTTAAAAAATAATGTTGTATCTTTTATGGTATTCATAACATAGCTATGGTTCTCAATGCTCATATTTAATAAATAAGAGTCAATCAAAAGTCACTAAGGAAGAAGTTCGGAACTACAGGTACTGACTGCATCGGAAATGCTTCTCTATGTAGCATGCTCCCAGGTGAGTGGAAACTTTATTTAAGAACAGTAAGCAATTCTCCCAAGAAATGGTGGCTAGACAATATGATATACAGGTTCAAGTTCAACAAATGTTTATTTTGTATATTGTGCATCAAGCATAAAGGTTGATTACTGGTCTGGAGGAACTTCTGGTCTGACAGAGAAGTGAGACTTTATGTTTTAAAATTAAGATTTTAAAACTTAGATATTATATTAGTTTACTATTGCTTCTGTAACAAATCACCACAAATTTAGTGACTTAAAACAACACAAATTAATTTTCTTACAGTTCTGGAAGTTAGAAGCCCAGAATTGGCTAGAATCATTGTGTTGGCAGGGCTGTATTGCTTCTGGAGGCTGCAGGGGAAAATCAGTTGCCTTTTTCTAGTTTCTAGAGACTGCTCGTGTTCCCTGGCTTATGGCTCCTTTCCCCATTTTCAAAACCTGCAGCATAGCGTCTTCAAATCTCTCCCTGAGGCTTCCATATTTAAAAGATTCTTGTGATTAAATCGAGCCTGCCTGGATAATCCAGGTTATTCTCCTATTTTAAGGTTAGCTGATTAACAGAGTTAATTCCAACTATAACCTTAATTTCCCCCTGCAATGCAAAATGACATATTCACAGTTTTGGGGGATTGGGACATGGGCATCTTTAGGGGAGCATTATTCTGTCTACCACAAATACATTCCTAAAATCATTTTATTTAAAGCAATTTCCAATTGTTCCTGTCAGTCTGCATAAAATAGTCTTAGAAGATTGAAAAGCTATAAAATACAGCTTGTGATTAACCTGGCACTAGTGTGCTGAAGGGGATTTCTATGACTGATGATGAAGACAATCGATTAAAGAACTTGAACCTGAATTAGGACAAGCCAAAAGACATCAGCTCTGAAAGCACCAGCTCTTGAAGAAGTATCCACCCTAATGGCAGCATTCTCTCTGACTAATGGCCTGATTTGTAACTATTATTTCTTGTTATAATTCAAGGGGACTTTTGAGGTCCTTTATTAGACAACTAAATAATTACAATTTTTTTAAAGTAATTTATGAAATCCATGCCAACGCAAACTACCTTCTGTTCTTAAAGTACCAAAGAAAGGCTTCTGTTATACCTTGCCTCCCACTCCCCCAAACCCTTTCCTGATACTTTTCCAGCTACTGTCTCCTTTCTTTTAGCACTTAAAATCTTCCAATAGTCATCTATACTTGTGTCCTTTACTTCCTTGTAGCTCATTCCCTTTATTTCTTTACAAATGCCTTTTCCTTCCCTTCACCTCTGCAATAAAACGCCAATGATTCCCTTAACCTTCCAATTACTGAAACCCAAAGGTCATCCCTAGTCCTTGAATTCTCCACAGCATCTGGAACTTTGGGGGCAATGCACTGTTCTCAGCCTTGTTTGATAAATTTCTCCTTTAAGTTCTCCTTTCCTTCTCGCCCTTGATGGAGCTTCTTTAGTGTCACAGATAGATTACTGATGTGTCAAAATGTTGATACCTCATCCTTGTGGCAGCCAGGTGGGGCCTGAACCTGCCAAAGTCCCTGGCGCTGGTTACTTCCAGCTTCTATCAGTCTCTCCTCCTTTGTACTCCAAGGTGCTTTGCAAATATTCTCTAATTGTAAATGATGTTAAAATGCTGAAAAGCACTGCCCCCTAAAGACATACTTCCTCTGGGCTTTACCTGGTCTTCTTTTCCCTGCCCTCTGTGCATTATTTCTTTTAACTTGATCATGCTTAAAAGTCACCAGAGGTACCCATTAAAATGCAGACTCCTGAGACATACGCCCAGGGATTTTTGATTCAGTATATCTGGAGCATGGCCCAGTAATCTGCATTTCAGCAAGCATTTCAAGTAGCCCTAATGCAGATGCTCCAAGGACCTCAAATGAATAAACACTATAATCTGTCCTCTTCAACCACTTTATCAGGGACTGTAGTTCAATTTCTGCTTGTTTTGATGCAAATGGTCTCCATTTATTTAACAAATATATACTGAATACCTATGTAGAAGGCCCTGTGCCAGGCAGTGGGTATAGAGCCCTGAACTTTGGAGGGCTAAAATCAATTTCAACTTCCTATTGGCCAGGAAGTTGTAATACTTTTTGAAGTACTCAGAGTATAAATTACAATGATAAAGCAATTATTGAACATTTGCCCATTTCTATCCAAATAAGTCTGTGTTTACTGAAGTATAGTTGATTTACAGTATTATATTAGTTTCAGGTATACAACATAATGATTCAATATATTTATAGACTATATTCCATTTCAAGTGATTATAAAATACTGGCTATATTCCCCGTGTTGTCCAATACATCCTTGAGGCTTATTTATTTTACACATAGTAGTTTGTACCTCTTAATCCCCTCTCCCCGCCTCTCTTGCCCCTCCCCTGTGCCCTCTCCCCACTGATAACCACTAGTTTGTTCTCTATATCCGTGAGTCAGTTTCTGTTTTGTGATAGTCTTTCATTTGTTTATTTTTTAGATTCCACATATAATGATAACATACAGTATTTGTCTTTCTCTGTCTGACTTATTTCACTAAGCATAATACCCTCCAGGTCCAT